TACGTTTAGACGTACCGCTAAACACTCCGACTATTCAAACAAAGCGCCTAACTTAAAAAAAGTGCACGACTTCATTTCCGTGCGGCGCAGCAGCCGTTTCTGTGTGGGGGTGGCTCGTGCGCCGCGCGGCACAGCAGTCTCTGCCAAATTATACCAAATAAGTTTCGTGCTACAGTAATTTGCGAAGTGGGTGTGGCGATCGTTCGTTCGCTGTGAACTTCAGAATGAGCCCCACTATGGCTCAGGCAACGCCTCCTCTATTATGTGCTGCATGAGAAGGAAAACAGCTGCCACACCCTTTCCCTCTTTTATTTTAGAATGTTTTCAGTTGCTAGCGTCACCTGTATCGGACAGTGCAACAACGCAACACTTTCCATTGCCTCCAAAACAGTGGTGTACAGTTGCAGGTATCGAACAACTCTCGACTGACGTGCCCCTATGCGCTGCAGATGAAAAACGCTTAGCTGGTACCATAGAGTTTCCTAAAATAAACTAGAGGGGACTCTGGCGCTGCGATCGTTCAGCGACCATGGAAATGATGGGTAGTACACACATTTGCCTAGTCTTTGTACTTGCGGGCGGCGAATCGTATTTGGGGCTTCGTTTATTGCTGTGTTTCGGTTTTGTTTTCAAAGAAAGATTCAACCCTCTTGAACTTCGTGACCTGATTTGGAAAGGTAAGTTTAAAAGAATAAGATTGTGAAGCACAATCGCTGAACATTTGCTAATATTTGTTTCGTAAGAAAACAGCTCCAAGCCACACGAACACACACGGAGCCAAAGGCAGACCACAAGTACGAATATTAGACAAATGTGTGCACAACCCATCATTCCTGTGCTCGCTGAAGCGCCGTGCATTGCAGCTCCCATAGATACTAGCGCCAGAGTTCGCTCTAGTGTATATTAGGAAACTCTATGGCTGGTACCCCCCACTGCCGTGATCATAGTGTCGGTCGCGAGCGCCACCGCGCGACGCTTGCTCAAAACTGAAGGCCGGCCAACTCCGCTGGGAGCGCGAGCCATTCCTCAGGCATCTTTCTAGCGGAGACGTTGGCTCAGGACAACAAGGATAACGAACCCACCGCGGTCAACGGCGGTCCCCAAGTCACCGGTGTAGGCCTAGCTCACATACGAGCACGTTGGTTGCGGACAACGTTACTCTTTTGCAGCCTCATCAGTTAGAGGACGGCAAGTAAAAAGCAGAAGTGAAGCTACAAGAGATATCAATCTTTGTAGTGACAGAACGGAAGCGCAGTCTTATCGCAAAACACGTCGATTCCGCGGTTCACCCCGCCTGACGAAAGGACCTTGAACTGCGTGGCGGGACGCTAGCGTGGAGTATGCCGCGCATCGGCGAACAACAGAAAGTCAATTCGTTCCCGGTGAACATGCTCACCGCCCGCGCAATGGAAGCTACTGGCAACAGGTAGACTGCTTTCAACGACGTGTTCGCAACATTGTCGTAGTCTCCGCTCGAAAATGTGGCAGTCTTACTTGAAAAAGAAAACTAACACTTCGGCCCTCGTGTAGCCTCGAAATTGATGAGCGAGGGAGCAAGTTTGGTTCGCGACATTTACGGGTAGCTCATTCTGGACAAGCCGGAAAACATCGCCGTGTTATTCGACAGTTTGCGGAGGACGTGCGCACATTCGTCGCACATTCGCCGTCAGTACAGTCATCGAACTGATAAGTGGCCTTGCGGCAGACGAGCACACGGTGACAATTTGCTACAGGACTAGAAGGAATGACACGCTCCTGCAAACAATCAGTCCTATTACATTCCTGGTGCATATTAACTGACTTAAGGTATGTGTACCATGATAATTTTCACTCGTAATGGCGAAGTAAAGTTTTAACAGCAATATTCTCGAAGCACAGATTTTGACCACTTTCTTTTGCTTGTTCGGTAAAAGTGGACCTAGGTCAACTAGAGCTGTAATTATTTTTGCGCAATGTAGCTAAATGTGCACAAAAAAATAATGCTGACTGCCGATTTGTAATGGGCGGCTTCATTTTTTTTTATTTTATTATAAAAATATTTTTGGTTACATGCAATAAACTTTATTGTGCTGTAACTCGACAAGTGCTTCTTCAGTTATTGATCAGCTTGCAGCGTTGCACTCCTTAGGCTTTCTAGTATCCATATATATCTTAATGACTATGCAATTCTAAGTACATACATTTTTATGGGTCTAAATGTTAGAATTCTTTGTTTTCTTGATTTTCTCAAAATAGCAATTTTGTACACCCTGCAAGAAAATTCCTGCAATATGTCGAAAACTATTACAGATAGCAGAATAATTTTTGTGCAGCATGAAGCTATATGTCTGGAGCACACATCATAGAAAGCAGATTTTAATTTCTCTTGATTCAAGTTCTTAAAATTAGTCTTTTGTGTGGCCACACAATGGCCACATTCAGAGCTATGAAGTTTAGTGTACTGTAAAGTAAAAAATAATGACCCAATCAAAAAAGTGCTTCCTATGTTGTGTAGCTTGTGCTTTCTAGTGTTGATCCCTATGATATATGTAAATTTCGGACTGGTGGTTATTTTTATATTGTGGTAGGAACAATAGATATTGTTATTGTAATAAATAATGAACTAATGAAGCTATAGAAAAAATAACTACATATTTAGAATCTGGAGAACAAAGTGAGTAAGCATGCCAACTTTTGTCACAGTTGGTTCAAAAATAATTGAGAGAGCCCTAAGTCCTATGTCCCCCCTTAATTATGTAAATTCTACTATGATTGTGCATAATAAATGAATGCATCCCGATGTTTATCTAAAATGTCCTAAATTGATGACAAAAGGCTAGAAGAGGCACTGCAGCTAGAGGATCCAATGCTTAAGCCCCTGTAACCCAAGATCATGAATGAAGTTAGCTGTATGCAGCAAAGGTTCTATGGATGAGCTCAAGCTGGAGGTTCAACGATAGTTATAGCGCGAGAACAAAACGACGACACAGAGACAAGAAGGACACGAAAGACACTTGTCTCTGTGTCGTCGCTTTGTTCTCGCGCTATAACTATCGTCATGCCATACCAACTAGCCCAAGCTGCCACACTTGGAGGTTCAATTTGGGTTGTATAAGCAAGCAACGTTAAGATTCCCTCCTATATTGAGTGAAGTCAAAAGTGTGCGAAAAGTCTAAAACTGGCAGAAGGAACCTCCTTACTCACCCGAAAGTATTTAGGGTGGGGGTAAATACTGCCCACTAATTGACTTAATGAGGGAGGCGGCAGGGGAAGGGCTGTACTGACCCCCCCCATGAAGATTAACCCTGTGTGCACTCTTATGGGGACAAGCGAGCATGACACATGCCAGGGTGCTGTGAATGCGTTTTCTCTTGTGCCTGTTTTGCTATTGAAAAGTTTCGGGGGTTTCGCACAATGACTTGAGATTTGAGGTCGCTGCATTACCACTTCACTGCACTTAACACGTTTCATTTAGCATGTTTGGCAAAGCACTTACCTGCATTCGCTAAAGGGCATCGTCACGTACGTATGTTTGGTGCTTGCTGCCGACCCCCTTAACCACACGATGGTAATCGCCACCTGGCTGTCGGCACTTTCCTGTCAAGAATGCCATATCACGGTGATAGCGTGCATGCTCTACTGGTGAGAACCGGCACCACAGTGGTTGACATGTACTTTTCTTTACCTTTTTGTGAGCATTCTCTTACAATTTAGATGTGATCTCTTTAGTATGCATGCATACATATATTGTGTGTCTATACTACCTTATATGTTCAGTTTTGTATACAGTTATGTATGCCTGTCCTGCAGCACCACAGTGTGGTGTGCAGTATGTACGAAATAAAATTACAAAATGAAATAGTGCAAACAAAGTGCGCAAGGTACAAAACAAACTTGTGTTGCAGAAAAATACTGGCCAAATATGCTATTCTTTTTTTAGAGTGCATTTGTAGGAAAGCTGGCATCTAGTGAGATGGAGTTTGCACAAACTGTCACTCCTGGCAGTGTTCCTGCTAATTTTGCATTGGCAGCAGATAGCGCCTTCACCAAAGAAGTCTGTTTTCTTTTAATTAGGCAAGCAGCAGTGCCAAGTGTGAGGCTATCTGATCAGGACAGCAATATGCAGTCTTTCTGCAAAGTTTGTGCTACAGGAACTGTAGCAGGAAGCTTTCTTTTGTTCTGTTGTAGTTGCAGCTCAGAATTGTGCTGCACTAGCAGACAACAAGTTTTCTGTGACGAGTTAGTGCCTAACAACAACCTGAGCAAGCATGCCAATAGCATAGGAAAAAGTGTTAGTGGGCGTCTTCTGGTGTATTATGCAAGTTAGGTAGCTTATTGGCAAAATCGGAGATTAAATGGCGAGACAGCCAACTCTCGTTAAACAGAGCCTGAAGGGACCTGGAAAATCTGCACCATTTAGCAAGAGTTCACTGAAACAACAAGAATAGGGGTGCAGAATTCAAGTATGAAGCCAATTATATTTTATGCAGTAGTTCTGTATGAGAGATTTCAATTTATTGGGAGTCTACTCATTAGAATTAAGGGTCTTGCATTGGAAAAAAGGGTCTGCATGTGTTGGTAGCACATAAATTGTTCTATATGAATCAGAGTTATTCTTTTTTAATAAACAGCTTTAACGATGACATGTTTGACATCACTCATTCATGCATCTGCGTGTGCTCGGACATTTTCTTGATTTGCAGCCTTTGCCATTGATACAGAGTCCCCTATTGTTGCAAGTGCAACTACTTCAAGCATTGTGTCTAAACAATGCAAACAATAAATAATGACACCGATATTTGAAAAAAAAAAAGTGATTGTGCTATTTAAATTATTGTGGATCAATGTAGCATTTCTTCTGCCATTTTTTCTCTAATTTTTATCGTGACCTTTGAGAATGGTACCTTTACGGGCAAGGATCTGTCCACTTACCGTAGTGAACCTCTGAGGTTTTCTAGGAAATGCTGCCCTTGCATCGTTTGTGCGAATTCTTAGCCATTGTGTTGCGGCCGCTGACGCAGGTGCTCAATGACACCTCGGCGAAGTCTCCCAGTGGCCAGCTCCATCGGTGGTTGAGCCAAGAGATGGACCGGCGGGAGGACCGCTCCAAAGTAGACCGGGAACGTCATCTGGCCACCCTTCTGGATGGCCATCGTAGCAGCCTCCAGAATAAAGTAGGGGAAGCTTCTCGCCTGGCCTCCCAAGCACAGAGGGAAGCACAGGAGGCAAGGCAGGTGAGGAGTGTTTTGAAAAATACTCAGATAACGATACTGTTACATCCTTGTGACTGTGCGAAAAACAGTTGCAGTTGCTAAAGGTAAAATTCTTTGTTGTGCGAACTTATGCTTGGAAAAAGAAACTCGCTCAAGGTGCCATCATGTTGGTGTACATTCGTCGAATGTACACCGCTCCAGCAGTGTAAATTTAAGGGCTCATTTTCTTTGTTGGACACAATGAGAGCAGACAGACAACAATGCCAGGGAAAGTAAAGGGGAGCTTATTATGTGCAATTTTAATCGACGCCAAAATGCTTGCCAGTTGTACAGTTGCCATGCTCTAGCACGTACAGTCAAACCTTATTTTGAGGAAGTTGAAGGGGGATTCGTAATTACTTTATTAGGACAAAAATTAATTTGTTATAGCCAATATTCATTTCTACAAACAATTAGCCATCAAGAGAGAATGTACTCACCATCGAATGTCGCAGCAGCCCGCAGGGCAGAGAAAACGAATGTCGGAAGGCAAAAAAACTAGTAAAACAATAAAAAACAATGCACTTTATTTCCGCCGAATTCAGCACACCAGCTGGCAGATCACTTCAAAGAAAAATAGTCTTTAATAGACTTTTGCTGACTTTTCCTCATGCGGATGACTGCTCTTTTAGCTGCAGCAGCTAACCTAACCTAACCTAATCATCGTAAGCACCAAAGAAGCAGCGCAGCGGGTCTGCTGCATTCAGTGCTTGCTCAGGCGTCGGTACGTAGGGTTCGCCGACAGTAGGCTCTGGGATGTTGACACATTTGACACTGTCATCATGTACTCCCATTACCGTGCGCACAATTTCCGCATCTGACAACTCTTATGGCGTCAGTATCGGTACCGAAGTACGTGCAGGAAGAGTCACAGTCAGGCACAACGCCGGCGTCAAGGAGAGCGGCCCACGACATCTGGGCCTGGTCGCCCGTGGAACCCTCACAGGCGGCATCGCTGAAATCTTCGCAGTGCTCTCCGCTGCTTACGCCAAATGAGGCATGCCGGACACAGTTAGCGATCATGCTTGCCATTACGGCCATCCAGGCAGCTTGCAACATCTCGATCGCCATGTGCAGGTCGATTGTTGTTTCGCGCTTCATGCTCATATTGAGCGAAATTCGATCTATGACACGTTTGCAGTAGCCAGACTTGAAGTTCATGATCACTCCTTGATCGAGGGGTTGCACAACCGCAGTAGTTTTGGGCGTAAAAAAAGCAGAGCTCAATGTTCTTAAGCACAACAGTAGTGTGGTGGACCGCGCAGTTATCCAGGAGGAGGCATATTTTGAAGTTTCGCTTGCCCAGCCGCTCGTCCCGCTCAGGCAGCCATTATGCGAAAATCTTTTGTAATCCAGACATTGCAGTTGGAGACGTAACTCACTTGGAGTTTGTTTTCCTTTGAAACGTCGTGGTGATTCACTTTTGCTGATCACAAGAGCTGGCAGCTTTTCAGACCCGTTCATATTCGCACATACAGTCGAGCCCACATATAACGGCCCCGCTTAAAAGGAACTTTCGCTTAGAACGAACAATATCCGTGTGACCGTGAAAATATACATTGGTTCAATGACACAATATCGCACTTTCAAGGAACATTTCCGAGCGCCGCCGATCGGTTACAGCGACCGGGGTCGGCACTCTGCCAACTTCCCAGGAAACCACTTTCGACCACCGATCAGGCATCGACAAGGTGCCCATACATTCTTGTTGTTAAACGGTAGCCCTGCCTCCGTGCCCCTCTAGTTGCCGCTCTCCCCGACTGCTTTTTGTTACGCACCCCTACATCCTTTATTTCCCCGCTACCCTGAGCACCCTGCATCGCCAGTAGAGGCCCATGTTTTCACACTGCCACCAATCTTTCGAAAACCGGTCGGCCATCTCCCCTGTTTTTGATCGCTGGTACTGTCATTGGCGTCACCGGCCTGGAGTGACCAGACCATTTACCAACATTGTCGGCCATGTCGGCTGCGGCGGCTGCATTTCCGATGGAGGCGGAAATGTTGTAGGTTCGTGTGCTCAGATTTGGGTGCACGGTAAAGAACCCCAGGTGGTCAAAATTTCCGGAGCCCTCCACTACGGCGTCTCTCATAATCATATGGTGGTTTTGCGGAGTTAAACCCCACATATCAATCAATCAAACATCGTCGGCCACCGACTGTATCCGATCGTCTGCGTTTAGTGCACGCACGTACACCACCCCATCGACTTTGATAATACGCGATTTGTTTTGTGTTTATGAGCTTATGACCTGTTCTCGCTCACGTCGTGCTCGGCTCAGCATGCCATTCGCACACGTGCGGAAGTGCGAAAACAGCTGTGCATTTGTGCAAAAGGAATTGCCAAATATCGAAATCAGTGTGGCCTCGAAAACCCGCCGATGCAACAAAACAATTTTTTTACCACGGCTGCAGATTCTTTGAACACCGCCGCACGCGCTGATACAGGCCGCCGTGCTTTGACTTCTGCGCGCGCAAACACTCCGTCTTGTCTTTCTACGCGTGAGTTGCGCGTTTCGCGAACCTTTCAAGCAAGCTACCCGACCTGCCTGTTTCCCGCGTGTGTTGGATTTCAAAGTCGCACTCCCGCCGTATCCTCCCCTCTCTTCATCTATCACAACCCCTTCGCCCGTCTCCACCGCTCTGCGACGCCAGCCACGCTGGCTCGATTTAGTTTCGTTTTCCGACTAAAAATGGGCCCAGAGCTGTTCCACGCGTTCTGGTATATGTGTCGCATGTACGCATCTTGCTCGCTCTTGGTGTGTGTGTGTGTGTGTGTGTGTGTGTGTGGTCACGATGGCAGACGGGAGGACTTGCACGCTTTTTCCTGCTGCTCAACAAAACGTCTAAAATGTGACCGTTCGGTTTGAGCGTAATCCGCGCGTTAGGTGCCGTGTTGCAGAGTGCTTGCTCATAGCTGTTGACCACGTGGCAGCCAACCTGCCGCTTCGGACGTTCCGGTATTCAACTGTGGAGATGGTGAATATTTTTCGGGCGGCGGTGACGGCTACATGCATGCGAAACTGTTTTCACGAAGCCGACTTCGTCGTCAACGTCGGTCCCGATGCCGAGCCTGAAGCTTCAGTACAGAACCACTGTGGTGGCGATTTGTGGCAGCGCGCCACCGACTCCGATGTGGGTTAGCGAATGGGACATCTGTTGCGATAATTTCGTTACGGCAGATGATGATGCCGACACCGCAGAACCGTGCACGAATTAGGGCATTGTGAATGAAGTACGTGGCTAGAGCGATTCGGAGGAATCGGATTGCGAGAACTACGAAGCTTTGGAGCCAGTGCCTCATGCTGCTTATGCCACGGGCCTCGACGAACAAGCACGGTGCCATTTGAAATAAACTCGAGACCGCCCTTACCCTTCTGCTCTTCGAAACACAAGCATCACAGACTTTTCTGGGCAAAAAAAGTTTGTTTTTACTCGCAACTTTTTTAAAGCTGTGTTTCATTTACTATGAACTATGGGATACAGCAAACGGATGCAGCGTCAGGCTCAGGTTCTTTATAAGTGGGCTCAACTGTAGTAGCAGGGTCACACAAACCTAGTTCTGTTTACCACCATGTCAGTGATCACCTCTGAGGGCCAAGGTTTTTTTTTGGCAACGTCTGATAGAACAGGGCCTTCTCGTCTGCATTGAACAGATCCCTGGGGCTGTATTTTTCAAGCAGCTGCCTAAGCTTCTCGATTCACGCCACTGCAGCTTTGCGGTCGACAGATAGCGATTCCACGCTGACAGCCCTGTCTAGGATGTTGTGGCGCTCTTTGAAGCTCTGCAGCCAGCCGTCACTAGCCACAGTTTTATCGTGCCCCATGAAGCAAGCGAAGTTCCTTACATTCTGTTACAGAAGTGCCCCTCTCACAGGAGTGCCACTTGCTCTGATTTTCTAAAAACCAGTTGAACACCGCCTTCTTGACACCATCGAAAGCGGGGGCTTACAGCTTCATTTAGTCACCTTTGACGCCACGTACGACAGCACTGGTTATGGCTTCTCTCTTGCTTAAGATCGTCGACAGCGTGCTCAACGATACGACGAAATCTTCGGCCACTTTTTTTTTTTTTTTTTTTTTTTGGCGCCAAACTCGGCGGCTTTCAACATTGCCGACATCTTTTTGATTGTTATAATTAAGGAGCTTGCTCCTTTTTCTGGGAGGTTTTCTCGCGTCATTGCACCGGTGTGTACGCTAGTGGCCATTGCTCCTGCTAGAGGCGCAGCTGTGCTCTTCATTTCAAGAGTGCTCACTAGATGGCGTGCCGCCACTCAGGTGACGCTCTCTTCACTCTTAGCACGTGCTGTAGTTTGGTAGGAGACCGCTAGATAGCCGCACTTATCTCGGTGCGCTTGCTTTCTCTTTCACTGCACTTCACTCGGTGCGCTTCGATACCGCTACCCACTATGAACACTGCAGAAGCCAAGGTGGTGACACAAAGGGCTTGCGATGCGGCTGCAGCGCGGGCTCGCTGTCAGGACTCTTCTCGAACTTTTCACTACATTCTATAATTTAAGATCCTCTGGTTTTGTACTTCAGGAATCACAAAGTCATTATAATAAAAAAAAAAGGTTTCTCTGAGCTTATGTGATTGGTAAATAAGCTCTTCAGCAAAAGGTATATACTGCATCAGTATGCAAGTATCTATATATATTGTAGGCATCTATTATGCGCTTCATCCTCATCTAGACAGCAGTCACTCATCACCTGTTCTGGCTGACAGTCATCATCAATTTTAAATGTGCGCTTCATCTTCAGGTTCGTTGTGCTTGTTCGTTCCCGAGTTCACGGCCAACAAACCTCGTTACAACCGAGTCGTCATACATGGTGGAGGTGGATTGACGATCCCAGTCCTCTCCTCACAATGCTACTTGCTGGAGCTCCGTTCAGGCCGTCACTTGGACCCTCAGTCCGCCAACATGTCTTAGAGTTGTGGAGGAGCACGCGCGCCCAGCCTCCCCTTCCCTTTTTACAGCAGCGCG